CTTCTTTGTTAACAGGGTTATCAGCACCTTCAAGCTAACATACAAGGTTATTCTAGGTTGCTCATTAAAGAAAAGATCTTGCAGTGTTCATCTTAGCTTCCTGATAATCAGTCTTTTAAAACCTTAAACATTGCTTTAATGAATATTTCAAAGCAATGAAATTTCCAAGATTGTCAAGTGAACAGAGAGTTGACCAGTTGTTGTCATACTTAAAGATTTAGTACGGGAATGGCAAAGAAAGACAACTTAACTATATTTTCCAACCCTTTCATATCTGGAGGGGGGGGGGCAGCAATCTCAGCTCTATCAGACAGCAGAGCTCAGAGCTTAAATGGGATGTTGCTGGCTTGCTTTTCCTGTCTGTCTGTCTCCCTCTTTCTCTGAAGTTGCCTGGACAGCTTCCTCAAGCTGGCGTTATCACTCCCTCTAACTAATCTTGGCAGGCAATCTAATTCCCCCTGAAAAGGTCACCGCCATTTTAACTGCCTTTCAATCACATTAGGAGTGTGGCTGCTCATGCCCACGGAGCTATGCCTGCAGCTCTCCTGGCTAAGGTGCAATCGATAAACTGACATACCATCCCCCCCCCCATCCCAGCAGAAGATGGCTCTTCCCTTGTGCCATTCAGAAGTGCCGCTCCCTCCCCATTTACTTACTTTGGCTAAAGGAATGACACAAGATGCTGTTTGACCAAAACTCTCATAAAAGTGATACTGACATATCCAGAAAGATAACCTTGTAGGCCTTGAATGAAATAGCTCAATTGTGACAACGAGGGAGGGTTTTGGGGGGATTAGACACACAGAAGCAGCCACATTCTGGGAACCAACCTGGCCCTTTCAAGACAGGTTGCTTGCCAAAAAAAAAACCACCATCCACAAAACTGCTTCCAGCTCCCTTCCCTGCAATCATTACTGTTATCTCTCCTGCCTTCACCCTTTTTTCCTCATAGTTACCACCATCATGTTTCCTCCATCGATCCTCATGTAAGACACTGTTTTAAGTCCGCTCGCCTTTTGACTGCACTAAGCCATTTAAGGGATGACAGCAACCTCTATCAGCACAAAGCCAATATGATTCTTTTCAGATAAAGCACTTTTGTCACCCGTTCTCCCTCCCACTCACTCTTTCAAATAGCCCACATGTTAAAAAATGCTAAGCTTTCAAAGAAAAAAAACATTTTTGAGCCTCACTCTGTAATTCTTTAAAAGGATAACCTCATAGTGGAAACACTTAACGAAAATGAGCAGCTGTTCTTAAAGACTATGAGGAATTGCTATAAATACTAGGACTATAAATTAAGACAATAAAAACTCAGTGCCTCTAGTTCTGGAGCAAACCCCATGTGGAACTTTAGACACAGATAATAGAAGATAACCTTCCACAAGATCTAGCAGATATAGAAGTCCAAGAGGTACATTTGTTCCATTCACTGGGATCTCTACACAGAACTTTTGGAGCATGAAAAATTTGCATCCTTCATCAAAGGATCTGCTGCTATAGGAAGGAGACCAAAGACTCCAAACTGGAAGATGAGTGAATTTTACTTGCAAGGAGAACAAGAGCTGCTCTCTACACAACCACAGGTTTTTTCCTAAATAAGTCTTTGTGTTTGTATACATATGTTAAAACAATGATTACCTTTTTTTAAATCAGAAAAATGTACCTCACTATCAGAATTTTAGGAAATATTGAGCTAAACAAAAATGGGGGAGAAAACCAAATAGATGGCACTAATCTGCCAAGATTGTGAAAATAGTAAGATGGTATGATAAAGGAAATTCATAAACTGCGTGAACTGATATTTACTAACAAGTCTACTTCTGTGAAATACAAGTTTCAGCCTTACAGACCATTTAACTATATACCATATGATTTATACAGATCATAGTTGATAGGTTCACACGTTTTGCTGAGCCATGGTTTGTTTTAATAATAAGGTACACATTTGGATTTCTCATCATTCTAAGTAAACTCTAGTCATCAGCAAATCACAATTTAAATAAATTATAGCTTAACACAAAGTGTAAACTATACTACTAAAAATGTCAGGCCCCCAAATCAAGGAAGACACATAATTCTTCCAAGCTGTGTTCTTTATAGATCCACATATATAGACAGAATCTTGACAAACTGAAGCACTCTACTATCTGCATCTACTGGTATCATATACTTTGAAAACTATTAGGGAGGGGCTGACTTCGCCCTCTTCGACTAACACAAAGTATTTGGACTGAGATGCCCTTATTCTTCTGGAATGCACCTGAGCCCCCCTGGGAATCCAGCCTACTATAAACCATCACAAAGAAATATTTCAGGGGTGAGGAATCAGGTTTAAATCAGTTAAGATATTAATGCTCTTCTTAACAGTGGGATATAAATGTAGGTTTTCACTCTTAAAAAGTATCTAAGACAAAATACCCAATTCAAGAGTTTTGCAAGTATATGTTTTAGCAACAACTTATGTTTTAAGAAGAAACTCAGGAAGCAAATGTTATCTTGAATATATTTATCCTTTTTCCGCTTAACCTTAAAAGAAAAGGGATTATCAAAATGTTATCTAGCAAATGGTTGAGCCACTAGAGTACTCAAAATTATTTGAAAAAGATAAAAATAGCATGGAAAATTGCTCTAATTAAAACTTCTAAATTATACCAATGCAACTTATATTATCTTCTTGAATGTTCTATACCAGGGGTGTCAAACTCAAGGCACATGTGCCAGATGCGACCCACGGGGCCATCCTGGAAAATGGTAAGGGTCAGGCCTGTGTTGCTTTGGCCCAGTCTACCTGTGTCGGTTCGGCTTGCTCTACCCAATGCAAAGAGAAAACATCAGGCCAGCGTGGCTTTGGCCCAACCTACCCAATGCGAAGAGGAAACATGCCAGCTGTTTGGGGAGTGGTGCCAAACTGGCCACACTCATTCAGCTGTGCCCGCCCCCCCATGGTCAACCAAAGCCCTGATGCAGCTTTCAATGAAATTGAGTTTGACACCCCTCTACACTATTTTCACGGAACTCTTATTTACAAAAAATAAAATTCTTGCATTAGTATGATAGGAAGCCTGAAGCTGATACAGGAAATCCATGAGATATGACAGATTTGTTGGGAAGATTTACCAATGCTAGTTTATTGTGCTGCAAAAAATAAGGCTAGGATATCTGACAAGAATAAATCATTTGATTACTGCATAAGAACACATGAACACTCCAAAAGAAATGGTCGAACTCTGACCCATCCGCTTTAGCCATGATTTATTCACATAGAAAAGTATAAAGGAAACCTGAAAAAGAGAACACCATCATAGATATCCATAGGCAGAGGCTGGGAAGGATGGGGAAGGTAAGTGAACCATGCACCATTGTTCTGGCCCCCACTTAGCCTGTTCCAAAACTAAAGTCACACAAAGCTTGCCAAAAGAAAGCCTTTATCAGTCTCGGCTCAGACTGGCTGCGAGCCCAAAATAAACATAGATAAAGTCTCTTTCAAACAAGGGTTACGCAGCAGAATACAGAAACAAAACTCTTACAGCACCAAGTTTTCAAGAAGCAAAATCACTTCTCCAAGTGTCTCACAAACTCACACAGGATCGGAACTGAATTCTCCATAAACGAACAACGTTGACTTCTGCAACCAGGGCATGGCACCATCAGTCCTTTTATCCGTAGGAGAAGACTCTAATGAGCAACAGCTGTGTGTAATCACCTCCTATGAGTCCTCAATTGTGCCTTACGGTCGGTCAGCTCTTCTCCTACGTGCATCCCGAAATGACTCACAGGAGGGTTCTTGCTCAGCCTCTCTTGTCTCCTCCCCACTGATCCAAGGCTCAGTCAGTACCTGGGGACCAACTAGTCTCTCTGAGCCCTGCTCGGAATCAGACCCCTGTCCAGAGCCCTCCTCCTCTTCCAAGCATGACTCATAAGGCCCCTCGCTGTCAGAGTCTGATAACAGCTCCCAAGGCTCTAGCCAAGTCACAACATACCATGCTGTTCCTTTCATACAATACTGCAATACATATCCAAAAGTTTATATTATGAGGTCACTACTCATGTTTCATCATTTTGGCATCACTCTGGCTAGGAACAATTGCCTAGAAGTATCCTTTATAACACTAACTAAATGATTTAATTTTGAAACCTACTTGCACTAGTGTGATTTTCTTTGCATATTTTAAATTAAAATGCAAATTATTACATATGGCAGGTTGCAAACTTTAACTGTGATAGAGAAATATATCAATTTCCCTGCTTGAAAGGATGCAACATTTTCCACACAATCACAAGGTTCTCAATCAGTTTAGTGAATCCTGACATAGACCAAAAGGCTGAGTAGAAGAAAAGAGTCAGGTGCACAGTTAAAATTACATTCACCAATAAAACTCACAAAGGTGACATTTTACCATAACTCATTCACTCCTTTGTAGCCATTTTTCCTGTCACAGGGGAAGGAAGAGAAAGAGGAAAAATAAGATTTGTTTGTCTGGAAACCCTCAGGGCTGGAGTGCTGAAGGTGTATGGCAGGTTGGTGAATTGTCATTTATCAGACTTAAAAAAGATAGAATGATAAATGCATAACTGGACCTTTAATATTTTATGCAGGTGCTAAAGTGACTTAGCTGTCAACTTCCATAAATCAACAGCAGCTGATAAAGTTGCTTTCGTCATTGTAGATTGGGGCTATTTACTATGTTATTTTTCGTAATATTTTAAAATGCAGAGTGTCACTGAAACTGACTGGCCTTGGCAATATCTCTCCAACTTTGACCGATGCTATCTCAATATTAATGCAATATTTGTAATTCCAACCATTTAATTTTGTTTTCATAGATGCAAAAAAAAAAAAAGAATTTTTATACTAACAAAAATGCAGGTTTCAATGTACACTGAAAACAGATGCATTTTAGTTTGTAAGACTATATTTATCAATAGTACAACATTTAATAATATCAAAAAGCTCCCCAAAAGTAATTTAGTTTTAAGAACTAAGAAGAGAAATTTACCTCTGAAGCCCCCTTCCAGGAGGGTGGTAGCACGTATTCTCTTCTGCCCGCACCATTCATATTCCTCAAAGCGATTACCATTCTCATTCTCAATGTCAACAGGGTCATCCTCCAACATGCATGACCCCTCCCTCTGAGTAAATAAAACATTAAGCATCTTTTTAGAATCTTGGAAAATAGATACTATTCATCCTAGTAGGGATGCTGAGGTAAATTATGGAGAATTTTGCAAGGTTAAACTGTATACGAGCAATGGCAAAACATTACAGAGAGTGTTGTTTTAAAATTATGAGAGTTCCAAGAAAATAATATAATTTAAAGAACTATGGAAATTCAAGGCTAGATTATTTAAATAATGCCTAATATTATCTTGAGCCAATGAATTGTCAAAATGGAACTTGAATTGAGAATTTTCTGACTAATATTCTATCTGATGAAGGAAGCTATAATGGTCTGTTTTACAAGGAAGAAAAATAAAAATGTCCATCGCACTACAGAAAGAATTTGTCTAAAATTTATAAATAACTGAAATACAATGACTAATACAGATTGTAATCTTTTGTTTAAATTAATAAATCAGAGCTATCATCAAACCCTGCATTACGCCCCCCCTCCAAACCACCACCACTCCTAATCTTATTTTAGTATTGTCTATTGTATGAAAAAAATTCCAATAAAATGAGAAAGCTTGGAAAAGAAAAAAATTGAAGCTTTAACTACGTAGATTAGAATTGATCATTCTGGATAAAGCTTTAGCATTATTTTTGTTAGTTCTCATATACTACTATCTGCAAGAATTGCTAACACAATTATTTATGTGTGTGACTACTTCAACGCTTTATATACTAAATTGCAAGGACAACAGTCAGGTGACTGATTTTGAAGACATGATTTAATTCATTAATCAAAAATAGCCACATCAATAATATCATCAACTATTAAAACACCAGGCCATGGTCTGCTATTTTAAAGAATGTGATATCTGTCATGTTGCGAATGACAGGCTATACTCCACCAGGAAATTACTGAGCACCCTCACAAATGCTATAAATGGTGTAGGAAAATTAGATCCAAGGTCCAATAAACTTATTAAAACTAGAGCAATGCTTGACTAGATGTGTATAGTCACTTTTTCTTAAATGGAGAGTAGCATCTAGGTTCTACATATATAACTTTGAGGGTGAAAAGAAACTGGCTTCACTTCTCCGCTCCAATACATGTTTACGTCTCAGTTTTATTGCATTAATGTTAATAAATTGCATATTATAATCAAGCTCCAGAGAAGTAGGAAAAGCCTCCTGTAACTTAGGAGAACTTCTGAAGATACCAAAGTTAGAGGCCACAATTTTCCTCCTATGCTTTTGTAGGGCAATAGTAAGGTGCCCAACGGCATAGGGGCATCATTAAGTCATATCCTAATTTTAGAGGGTCCTTTTTCATGTTTAAGGTATTTTAAGGGCAATAATTTCCATGAGTGAATCCTACCCCCCTCCCCTTCCAAAAAGGGCTGTTACAAAAATCTAGCCATTTTCTCATTGCATTTCAGTGGCTCAATCTCTGTATCGGTGGGGAGGGTGCTGATTGTCACTGCTACTGTAATAGCAACGGAGACTACAATCCATTCTCATTTGAAAGGCTAGGAGTATTGGTTGTAACGTAACAAGACTGCCAAAATGATAAGCAAGTAATCAAGTGGATCTGCAAAGGAACATTCAGGTCTCAGGTCTTCAATTGGCAACTTCGATTTCTATCCAGATATCAGGCAGAGCAGAGAGTGTAGAAGAAAGAAAGGAGAGGCAGCAAGGGTTTCCTTAGCATTTCTACCTTTGCAAGGCATTGTTCGACATGCCCACTCCTCTCCTCCTCGGATCCTGAGAGAGGCTGGCTGCAGAGGGGACATACCTGCCCTTCGTCTTGCTTCCTCCTTTTCATTTTTCCAATCCGAGCTGTTCAAGGAAAGCAGAGATAGAAGAAAAGTACAACAGGTTACATTTGTAAGATTAGCCCTTCTCTATCCAGTGTCAATAGTATTCATATCTATTCCTTGCAAAGGGCAAATACGAACACAATTAGAAAGGAAGTACCACACAGGGTTGAATTTTATCTTGAGCACTCTAAACTTAATCCTCTTCATCTTTCCATCTTTGTGGCATGGTCAAACACAAATCAAATTCCTTGTCTTCAAGAAATCATGCTTAATTCTATAATTATTGTAGCACTGCACCCTTCTAGTAAAAAAACCCCTAAAGCCATTTGAGTTGCCTCCAGGTGGGAAAATTAATTGAAGCAGAGAGCTTCCGGATTCACCCCAGAATAAGTATCAGTAACCAAGATGCCAAACAAGATTTATTTATTTTAGAATAATTTATTATGGAACATTTTTCAAACTACTGTAAAAAGGTGCTGCTTATACTACTAGCCCCCCAAAAGCACCAAGTTCAAGCATGAAATTTGGTAGCAAAATGGCCAAATTTCAAGGATGCATGCTTAATACAAAATTAAATAAGGCAAATAGGAGTGATCAGGCAAAAATCTCTTATCTTCATCTGTATCTCAAGGTAAACTGTCTTGTGCTGAGTTTACTCCTGATGGTTGCACTGAGAGTGCACACTCCTTGCTCCTCTCAGGATGATTTCTGCCTTTCCAGTTATGGGTGAGTTAGGTGGGCACATGTATGAATGGAGTGAATGGCAGCAATTTAGGCTTCAGGTTTAAATGGACATAAATTAAACCTTCTTTTGATGCCAATTTATTTAGCTGGTTTTCAACTTATGACCAATCACTTAGTGACCATTTGAAGTTGCAAGACACCCTCCCCACAAAGGCACTTATAAACCAGTTCCAACAACTGCTTTCCCCATGCAGTCACATGACCAGATTTTAGATTGACACTTTGACTACAATTTAAGATTTCTTTTTATTTTGCTGAAAAACAGTGTTCATTTCTGGGCTTGAATGAAAATTCCCCATAATGAACAATGGGTTTGCTTAATGACTGAATGACTATGGTAAATAGCTTAACGACTGCTGGAAAAAAGTCATAAAATGGTATCAATTTCTATATTTGTGAGTTTTTAATGTTGTATAGTAATTTTTCAAATATGAAGGTAAAAAAGTTATAAATTGTGGACCTGTTTTCAAGGGGGATAATTATTATAGCTGAAACGTATTTATCAATATTCAACCAGTGGGGGATACTTCATGGTTTTATATACTTTTTTCTCTTTGTTATTCTTTTTTATTTTGACTTTGAAATAAAAAAAATAGAAATAAAAATATGTACACTACAAAAACACTGATCATTATGGTTCAGACAAAGTTAATTAATGTGAGATGATTATGTGTTGCTATATGTTGCACAAACATATAACAAAATTGTTATATTTGTTGCAACTTCATAGAATTTATACAAAGCATGAAAAATGATCTCAAAAATACTCTAAAGACAAAATATGGATAAGAAAACTGGTAAATGTAAGTTGCTACTAATAATTTGAGAATGCAAATGCAGGAAAAACAAAGTATGTTCAATTATATGGTCAACTTTAGTTGACATAAAATGATCAGTCAGGAAATATTTTAAGAATATTATCCTCTAGTCTATTTCTCTGAACTCCTTCCATTTTTCTTCCAATCACATTTTTTCTCAAGCAACAATTCCCAACAAATTTATAGGCACCTACTTTTCACTAAATACACAGTGCAAGAGGAAACAAGTCCCATTAACTCTGGATCAGTTCTCCAGAATAGCACTAGTGGCTCTGGCTTTTACCCTCTTAGTATTAGAACACTTACATAAAACAAAAAACATTTCTCCAATAATAAACCTTGCTCTTAATAATTTATGTCATGTTTTCAGGACCAGATAAGTAGAAAACAGCTCCATGTAAAAGATCCTAAATTTTCATGGTAACCAGGCTAACCTTTTCTTAAAGGAAATTAGAATTCCTCATATAGGAAGCTGCACATCCAGCTTTTTCCATGTTCATAAGAGCAAGTATTAATACACCCCAGAAAAAAACATGCAATAAAAATGCACTAAAGAATAGTCATTAGAAACCTCCTTATCTGTAGTCACTAACAAAATCTACAATCACTTATTCTTAATCACTCATCTAGTTAATTTGCAACAAGAAGACTTCCATGTTATACTTTCAATACCTTTTGCTTTTAAAAAAAACTATCCTCAATTACCAAGATGTTGATAATATTATTTTTTTCAAGGACTAATGGAGTAATATCTGATTGCATCTTTTTAAAATAAATCTTTCACTGCAAAGCCTGTGATGCTAATTGGAAAAATTCTAAAAGTTAAAAAATATTAATGTTAATAACTTGGATTTTAACTATTTGCAAAGCTTCTTGGACCAATTTTCATGTTGCTGGATTATTATGTTTATTATTTATATGCTAGCATGATGTACAGGTAATGTAAAGGGATTGATATTTTTCCTAGGCTGATGACTGTTCGACACAATTCAGAAAATAAGACTACATTATTATTATGCATTCTCACTGATGGAGACAACTTTAAAAAACATATAACAACTATTGCAAAAAAATGTTCTTGCCCACAAATCAGAGTGGCAGAGGCCAAACATTAAATACAGCAAAAGGAAGATAACAAAAAAGTTAGCAATAGCTTAATGGTGGAATTCAGGAATGGGAACAAGAAACTGAGGCTGTTTGAAAAACGAATGAGTAGAATTTCCAATTGCTGCTATAAAGCTCTGCTATCACTTCTAATCAGCATAGAAAGGATGGAGTAGCCTCAGAGGAAGGGGGGCAATTGCCGAGCTGTCCCAAAGGAGAACAGCTCAAAAGAACACACAAGTGAGACCACAGTATTGTTAATTAGTGCTGATAGATGAAATCATTTCTAATTAGCTCTCTAATCCTTCTACCCAGTACTCTTGTCACAGGAGCAAAGAGAGAGGCTTGGTTGGTTTTTTCCTAATGTTTAAGCCAAAGATTTTTTTTAAAAGAATAAGCCTGAACAAAGTAACAGAAAAACTATCAGTTAAGATTCCAAACAGTCAGGTTAGTTTTTGCAGTCCCTCAGTTAGAAAATAGTTGAAATTTTGTAAGAGACTTTGCTATATCAATGAAACAACAGAAAAACTAACTATCATTTAAGATTCCAAACAGTTATGTTAGTTTTTGCCGTCCCTCAGTTAGAATAAGTTGAAATTTTGTAAGAGACTTTGGTCTATCAGTGAAATAGACATGACAAAAGAAAGTTTGATAGTTTTAAGATGCCCAAGACATTTTAAATTATTAGATTTATTTTGCTTAAATAACCAAGGCATAGGGAAATCAGTATTAACATTACAATAACAATTCTGTCACTGGAATGATTTCATGAACCAGAGTGTTGTTGATAGTCACTTTTTTTAAGTATTCCTTCTGGATTAATCGTGGATCTAAATTGCTACAAAAAATATTTCAAACACATCCATTGCTTCCTTTTCTACACAAAAGTACACAATGGTGACAGGCTTTGCTTTGTTAATCCAAACAGCACAAATTCAGACTTAGTCTTAATTTACACTATCTCATGTACTTGTTCTGGTTGGTTCCACCACAAAACCGTGGTCGACTAAAGCGCGCTCGACGAAACCGTGTACCTGACGTCATCACAGCGCGACGAAAAAAGCACACTGTGAGCGGTAAAGCTAAAATTAACACGTAAACCTAAACCTAACCCCCCGAAACCTAACCCTAAACCTAACCCTTAACCTAACGCTAAACCTAACGCTAACACTTAACCTAACCCTAAACCTAACCCTAACCCTTAACCTAACCCTAACCCTAACCCTTACCTTAACGTGAATCAGCTTGCTTTAAAAGCGCTTTTTAAAGCGCCCTTTTTTCTCCACGGTCGTATTTGTCGCGCTGCTGATGACATCAGGTACGCGCTTTAATCAGGCGCGCTTTAGTGGACCGCGGTTTTGTCGTGCCACGGTTCTGGTTTACCTGGAGTTTTTATTTTGCAGAGTTTTAGAAGGGCGCTTGTGTTTTGCAGGGCCTTATTTTGTATGTATTACATAACTTTTATATTGCTGTGAAGCCTGGAATCACACCTACTTTTGTTCTATAATCTAGGTAATCATTTACATACTGAAATCCAATTTTGTATTCCACATTCTACCTATGTTGAGCACTCTATTGAAAAGAAAAACCCACCATGTCTTTTTCTAGTCTACTAACCTACTTTTTAGTTAATAGCTTCTAACTCAATTTTGCTTGTCCATTGATCAATACCGTGTTTCCCCGAAAATACGACCTGTCTGGAAACTAACGCCTTGCCACATTTTTCGCATGGGCAAAAATATAAGCCCACCCCTAAAAATAAGTCCCCTGGACGACAACCCCCCCCCCGGCCAGGCAGAGCACTGCTCACCGACCTAGTGGTATCCCAAAGGCGCCAAGCCGTGGGAGCGGAGGGGAAGGCGCTCACATTGCTTGGCGCCTTCGGGATACCGCTAGGTTGGGGAGTGGCGTTCTGCCTGGCCGGGGGGGGGGAGGGGTGGCTGCTCCCTTGTAAACTGGCTCCCGAAGAGCTGGGCACAGCCTCAGGGGCAAAGCAGCCATGAGGTGACCACACTCACGAGCAGCCACCCGGCAAACCCCCTCTCCAGCCGGGCAAAGTGCCATTCACTGACCTAGGGGGTATCCCTAAGGCGCCAAGGCACATGGCGCTCTGCCCGCTCCCCAGCTCCCATGGCTTGGCACATTTGGGATACCCCCTAGGTCAGTGCATGGAGCTCTGCCCGGCTGGAGAGGGGGGTGTGTGCGAACACCTGTTCCACCCCTACCGCGCTCCGAGCATAACTTCTTCTCTGGCTTCCAAACTCGGCTACTGAGTCTTCCAGCAGCGGCCGCTTTAGGAGTGCGCTCTATGGTTGTGGGCTGGCTGCTGGAAGACTCTCTGTCCGGAAGACTCTCTGGCAGCGGCCCACAACCATAGAGCGCACTCCTAGAGTGGCCGCTGATGGAAGACTCAGCAGCCGAGTTTTGGAGTTTGGAAGCCGGAGAAATTATGCTCGGAGCGCGGCGGGGGCGGAACAACCCCCCTTCTCCAGTCGGGCAGAGCTCCATGCACTGACCTAGGGGATATCCCGAATGTGCCAAGCCACGGGAGCTGGGGAGCGGGCAGAGCGCCATGTGCCTTGGCACCTTAGGGATACCCCCTAGGTCAGTGAATGGCGCTCTGCCCGGCTGGAGAGGGGATTTGCCGGGCAGTTGCTCATGAGTGTGGTCACCTCATGGCTGCTTCACCCCTGAGGCTGTGCCCAGCTCTTTGGGAGCCAGTGCACAAGGGGGCAGCTACCCGACAACCCCAAAACAATAAGCCCTCCCCATATAATAAGCCCAAGGCATATTTCGTGGGGCAAAAGGAAATAAGACCCTGTCTTATTTTCAGGGAAACACGGTACATGCTCAGATCATACCATTTCTTCTGCATATTCCAGATTGGTATAGTTAAGAATTGTATTCAATTCACCCTTGGAAGCGAATTGACACAATTATTTTCAGAATTAATGTGTACATCATTATTTAAAGAATTTATATGACCATCTATCTCATATAATGATCCCACTCAGCTCATAACTGGTAAAAACAGGAATACCTTCCCCCATTTCAATAGGCATCAGACCAATCAATCTCTTGACATTTGGGCAAAAAGCCAGGTCTTTACAGCCTTCTGCAAGGTTCAAAGGATAGAGATCCCTCACATTTCAGGTAGAAGGTTATTTCAAGGCTGGGACAACTACAGAGAAAGTGTGCCTATGTACAGTTAATTTTCTGGAATTATAGGGTAATGGAAATCAAGATTTACTTTTTAGTTTTACACAAAGTATTATAAAATAGTTTTATGATAGATTTATTTGGGGGAGTTTTGGGCAATTTGGAATACATATGGGTACATAAATGACATCCTTATTTCAAAGCTACCATTAAAAGTCAGAAAAAGATAGATTTTTAAAGTTGTTGACAAGTACATGGTATGTACAATACCTAAATTGGCTCCAAATCACCTTTTCCTTTAAAATCTGGATTGTTGCACAGCAACAAAAGCTCAAGAAGCCTTTGATTAATATTATATTTCAATGAAGCCAATACACCCAGCAAGAACTGATTTGCTTTAAAAAGTCTTGGAAAAATATTTGTGTTTCGGCACTAGGCATTTTCCAATAACAGCACCAGATGCCACAAGGAATATTTGTGAGATGATCAATATATGAAATGGTATAATAGCATATTCATTAATCATATGCCAGGGGAATTCAATAGAAATTGTACAGCAGTTTATGAATGTAAAACACAGATTACATGTATTCAGAATACAAAGCATGGTGCTTATTAATCTTAATTCAAGAGTTCACTCTTACGATGTTGTAAATACCACTAACATAGATCTTATAACCTTGCAGCTGCCTAGTAATTTTGAATGCGTAATAAAAGATTCTTTTCTTGCAATTTTAGAATACTTTATAATTTGAATGTTTGAGATTTCAGTGTATTTGCTTTTGATTGAAATAAACACTGACAAATAGAATTAAAGAAGTATTACAGCTTTTGAAATTTATTTTTGTTTTAAACACTCAGATTTCATAGTATTAATATTTTAATCTGACTAAAAGTCTCAGTGCTAAAAGCTGTAAAAAAAATTACTGCATGCAAATATTGCATATGTGATTTCCCTATAAGGGCAAATAATCTGAGGAATTAAATCTGTGGAAAGTTAATTTTGATTCTCTACAGTGACAGAGATTGGGCACAGGAGATTACACATACACACACGCACACACACATGGAAATTGATCAGAAATTGAAGAACAGCACATATGATGTGTGGTTGGAAAAACTACAAAGAGGAAAATATGAAATAATGACACTATTTTTTTTTAATACACATGGCTCTAAGTAGTATCTCATTTCAAACAGTATCCAGTACTGGTGGTAATGATAGCACCAATTTAGGAAAGATTTAAAGAAACAAAAACAGGTTGGTAACACAAATGATAAGTAAGGCTTTAAAATTGTAGGTCACAACTTACTAAACCATCTTATAAAAGAGAGCATTAACCCCATCAGACACTAATACTGGAAATTATTATTCCTAACAAAAGACAAGAATATAGGTCCCACTCACCATTCAGCCGGGTCTGTCTGTTTGCCCTTACTCGCAAAAAAGTCTATGAAAAGACACAAGAATGTAAATAGATAGGATTAAGGTCCTGCTAATGAGAAAACCAGATAATAATTCAATCAACTTTAAGAAGTATTCTTGAAAGGAACCCACTCCTAGAATATTTTTAAAAATACACACCAGTTTCATTCAACCCTTAAAAACCTTCCTTTCTGGTTTTTCATATATTAATTCAAAAAATCCATAGTTTCCTAACAGCTTCCCATGTTTTCTTTTGCTCAACTCTAAGTCATATTTGGACTTTCAGAACTCTCTCCTATAACATGATATTGCCAGTCACATTTGCTTTCTAAAGTTCATAGATTGTCCATTATCAAAAGCATTCAGACTGTATTAGTAGCTGTAACCAGGTTCCCTGCCTATCTCACTATCTTAGGCTGGCTCAAACTCCAAACTGATCTGCCAGATGAGTATCTATTTTGGCCCCATTTTCTAATACAACTCCAACTTTCCCCCCTCCCCGTCGAACGTGTCCTGCCATGCCTACTAGTTTCCTAATCAATTCCTAACATAATTCGTTTTCTCTTTATATAAAAAGAGGCCTCTCCAAGTTTATCCTGAGAATGTAAACAGACCACTCCCACTCTCAGGAAGGACGGCCCAGCTTCCTTTAGATGTAAACAAGACCTATTCCCTTCCTTAGCAATAAAATGGGTTCGGCCACAGAAACGGTCCACGTTCGCACCTCCTCCCGACCACCGGGCTCCCTCCTCTCGCTCTGCATGGCCAGGGATGAGAATGGATACGGGCAACGGCCCCGGCCCCGGCAATTAACTCCCCGCAACAGCGGTCGTCGCCATATTAGCTGCGATCATGTGACCAGCCGTCGCCGACGCGGGGTGAGAGTTCAGAGGAAGTTGTTCTCATGGCAACTAAGGCTGAGAGCGGGCGAGGGTTGAGGGGGATTTCTGCCATAATAATAGCGCGTTCCTCAATCACTTTTGTAAACACCAGTTACCACAGCCCGGATGCCTGAAATGTGTAATCTTTGCCCATCAGGTCGTTCCCGTCGCCTTTTCTAACAACTCACACAACTCCTTAAAACAAATCCGCGCTCAAGAGCGCGCCGGGTCTGTACTTTGAAAAGCAGCATTTTTCCTCTTCACAATAAAAGACCACGGCTACCGATAGTATTCTTTCTTTTTCCTCTTAATTAAATAAAGAGTGCTGCAAAGACCCATGCCCCTATTTTTGTAGTAGCAGCAGCTTTGGCAGATGCCCAATATTCTGGTTTCACTAGCTTGACCCTATATTGATCAAGAAGTAAGAATGATTACTGGCCAAGACATAAATACACATTTCCTAAAACGAAAAAAATGTCTTGCTAATGGCAGCACTGGAAATGGCATGGCAGTTCATAATTTTCATCCTGATTTATATTCATAATACACGTGTATTTTGCCAATAATTATGTGTATTGCTGTCCATGCATTTAATGAAATTGATCACAATCCACAAAAGTTTATGTCATAACTGCTGTTTTTCAACTACTACATGATGTTTTTGCTGCAACATTTCCACACAAATGGAAACACAATCATGTAAAACACTACACTACATAAATGTAATTTTCAGATTTAAGGTTTAGTATGTTGTGCAAATCCTTGAAAGAGTAAATTCATTAAACCAAAGTTACATTAATTTGCGTAAACACACTGTGCAATCTTCAACTATAAAGAGTCAGAAAAGATATTTTAAACCCACTTCTAGAAAAAATAGAAATGTAACAGCTGAAAAATTTCACTGTCTGATAAGCATGAATAGCAAATATGATGCAACTTTGAAGGTACAAAGTCCAACCTTAGGACCATATTGTCAGACTACTGCCTGTAAAAAGGATATCATGCAGCTACTGGGTGCTCTGCTAATATGACACCCCAGATTTGCTTGGAGATAGATTTCTTTAGTCTTAAAAATGTCGTAGTATGCATCATAAAAAAAAATCACTGTCAGAAAAATATTCATTTTATGAGACTCTTGAAATATCCTTGTATGTAATAGGAATAGTAGCTAGTACAGAGTTAGAATATATAAGCAATTTACCCTTTTATTAAAGTAAATGAAGATCAATATGTAATATGCTCATGTCTTGTAAATGTTTAATCCTATTGAAATCAATAGGAATTGGCTCTGGTGAATTGTAGCTCTTTATAGTAGGACCAATATCGAAATAAAAACCTTTCCAAATTCAAATGTTACTAAAACTGTCAGACATTATTTTACTGTGTTATTTCCAAATTGTTGTTGCAAGAAAGTTAAGCCTATAGAATAATAAAGTTAAAAGGGACGTTGGAGTTATTCTAGCCCAATCCCAGACAGGAGAGCCTACACTGATTGTCCAATCTCTTCTTTAAAACCTCCAGTCATGGACCACCTACAATATCTGGAGGCACTGATCACTTGTTCTCCCTGTTAGGAAATTTCTTCTTAGTTCAAGGTTGGATCTCTCCTTAATAAATTTCCATCTGCCCTCAGGTGCTTTGGACTATAGGTTGACCCTGTCCTATCTATGACAATCCCTCAAATATTGGAACACTGCTATCATGTCACACATAAACCACCGTTCTCTTATTTTTTTTATTGAACATTTTTGAAAAAAACAAACTTTTACAAATGTTTAGTCCCGCCCCCCCCCCCAAACCCCCCGCCCAACCTTCCCCCCCCCCCCCCCCCCGACTTCCCAGAACCAATACAGGATATAAATCTTTAACAAAGAG